CTCTGCTGAAGTTGCTGTATATATATCTTGAACCTGTGCCATGTTAAAAATCTTTTAAAACTATGACACCTTTTAAAATGTACATATTTGTTTTTTAATGATATGATTTTTTAGACTTTGATATAACTCTTTAAAAACTTTGAATGCATGTACATACATGTAAGAATAAAATATGTTGATTTTTTACATTTTAAATGATTTTAATGAATCCATTATCATGATTATTAAAGAGTTATTAATCAAAATTTCGGTGCGTTCTTTTTTTCTTAATTAGGCGTTAAGTAACAAAGCTGGAATTAAAACAAAAAGTGTTTCTGATCATGGGATTATGTAATAAGATGCTTTGAACCTTTTCAAGAAGTGTGTCCTTTCTTTTGTTGAAGGAACGCACCATCTTTTTCTGGTCTGTTAATATTTTGGTAGGTTCCTTCTTTTTTTTTATTTGTCTTAAAATGGTAACTTTGCCACCTCTTGTAGTTTTTCTCTACATAATATGAAGAAATATAAATAGAGAATGCATTTATTGAAAATTTACACAAACGGCGCTCCGTATTAAAGTTTGAGCTTTCGACCAAAGTTTATATAGATCAAGAGATTTGATTGGCTACAATTGTTTTGAAGTAACCCGGATAATTGGAATCGAAAGTAGAATGTTTGGAGAAGGAGCTCATGTGAATTTTGAAGCATTTGGATTAATTTTAAGGTAATATTATGCAAAAATACTGGCCATAATCAGGATTTTACTTAGCATACCTGAAATTTGCACAGCCAAGCGCACAAATTTCCACATGCAATGTTTAATTTTTTTATGTTTAAAAACACAAGAGAACCTAAATTACTTACCACTCCGGTCATCTTGGTGCGCCGAGTTAATAAGCAGGTGTAAATCGAAAAACACGAAAAGTAACTCCCATTTGGTCAGTTAACAATGTATACGATTTGGTTGATTGACCACCAAATGGGAGTGGATCAACCAAATGGGGGTGTGTGCCCAACCTGATGATATGGTTTATTGAATGAAATGAAAAATCAGCCGACTGAAATTCAAAGGCTGAAATAAAGAAAATTTGAAGCAAAATAATTACCTGAAAGAGATAATGACTTTCAATACCTTTGTTGCTGTACTTCAAATGACTTTAAATGAATAATGAACAACAAACACTGGGAAAATAAGGCAAATTTCAATATTTGTTTACCAAATCACGTTGTCTAAACTTACTTCCGGTGAAAATAAATTACGCGGATTTCGAGCTCGATCGGAAATGCGCAATCGGAAAAAGAAACCGATCTCGATCACTTTGTGGGACGAACCCGATATAAATTAAGTACTAAATAAATGAAAATCAATGAAGTATAAGGTGAGCACTACACTAATCAGTAAAACAAGCAAATATAATTTAAAAAAAACTTGTTTAAATCAACCCTCCAACAACTCTGAAAACTGCACAACTAAGAACCAAAGGATATAATTCACCTGCACACAAATACTAACACTTTACCAAGAAAACTGTGTCTACTAGTTCAACTGAAATGTCTGTAATATATTTTTGCCAAAAAGTCACCGTCAGAAGAGATAGAATAATTAATTAATTAACTTACATTTTAGTAATTCAAGGGTACCTGGATCTCTAGATATGTGAATATATGATATCTAACTTACCAATCTGGCACTCAGCTGTGAAACTTTATAAATTAACCTTTACACTTAAAACTAAAATTAATCAAAAATTTTCAATACCAAGGGTACCCCAAAAAATATGTAAATTTCAAAAATACAATAGACTTGCAAGCAAAGAAAAGAAAAAAATAATTATAGAGCTCTTAGTATACAGGTAAACAATTCAAACAGTAACACTCACCAATCAGCTCATAAAATCACATGTAGAAAACATACACTATATATGGCACTAAACACAAAGCACAAAACACAAATAACACAAAGAATGAATAATGAGTCACCAAATTGTCCATAGGTGGTCTTGACGGATATGTACCCCGCAGAGGTGATCTCGACGGATATGTACCGGCACTACAGTCACTCACGACACTGTCACTACATCATCATAACATATGGTACGCGTACATGACACGTCACATCAAAGTCAGTCCATCCATGAATACGACATACACTATGGGACGGGCACTGGTCAGGCAGACTGTTCATTCACTGTGGTTATCAAAAATGGCTACAGACTGCTGTTTATTTATGCAGAGAGGTCCCTACATGGGCGCCAAATTTGTAACAGGGTCGATGGTAATAATGAAAACACCTGTCAAGGTTCGCACTCTTTATTGATAGTAGAAATAAATATATTGGTATTGCCCTGAAATAAATGATAACAATATTGAGAATATCATAAAAACATTAATGCACAATTCAATATTATACACAATGCTGCATAAAGGGAGGTAACTCTTACATTCATTACACATCTTGACATAATATAATACTCCCTTAAAATTTACACTTTGTGCATACAGTTAAAATACTTTACAACAAAATATGTATTACTATTTAAGCTATAATATCTTCATAGACATTATGTACCTTTTACTAATAAACAATACTGTAAACCAACTTTTATTCGCGACGACTTTATTTCGCGATTTACTGGGAGTTAAGTTGTTCGCGACGATTAATTTTCGCAATCAAGCCTTTTTTGGAACTATTTATAATGGAGAAAGTGACTTTAAGGACCCATTCACGGCGAGAAATATTCGCGATGACAAGGCTCTCGCGAACATCGCGAAAATTTCTCGCACGCGAATAAAAGTTGGTTTACAGTAAATCTTATGGCAATCAATATCATACCATTCTGAGGGAATAGGCAAGCTCCCATGGTTTAATATCATACAAGTCAGTAGTAAAAGGCTGGGAGTCCAGATGACAACTATAAATTATCATAAACCTTATATAATTCTCTGATCATAAAAACATATGTACATATTATCTGGATCAAAAAAATACCATAGCTTTACTACTAATAACTAAGTAAAAATCTGACTTCCGAAATCTCTCTTACTGTGCAAAAGTGCTATGGAAATTAATATTGCAAAAATTACAGATTTCACATTAATTTTAATAAAATTTTTATTAAAGATTTGTTAAAGTTAGTAAATAAATATTAGCTTCCCAGAAGATGAAGAGAGTCTAAGTCAATAGTCAATTGGTCAAATTCTGTCACAACAAAATGGAACCTCTCTATCATCAATCTTGACAAAGAATGACCAGAAAGACCAAGAACACTTTGGAGGGAATTTGACAAACCAATAAAACACAAGAACACAAAACTAAAACCCAACAGAAACAAATGACTTATAGAACTTATGGCCAGGACCTTAATTATAATCCTAAAGGCAAATAACAGGGTAGCACTGTATGTTACACCTGAATGACCATACACTTAAATCTAATAAGCTGAAATAAAAATATATACAAATAGAATACAGAATAATTTGATATTCAATAATTAATTAGAAATTAATTAATAAATCATCACTCTCACACAGTCAAATGCGTGTAACATCTAAAATTAAAATTACTTTTTTATGTTACAAATGAGCCTAACATTATGAAGATTTCAAAGTGTACAGATGTAGATACATTAACTCTAGTACTCTGTTCTAGATCACCGAAGATCCCCGACTGAGGAAAGCAAACACATACTTCTGTCATGGAAAGCGACCACAGCAAAAAACTGGAAATAAATATCTGCTGTAAATGATGTATAGATTAGAGTTGCAGAAATCTGTCAGACCTAGAGTACCCGGTGTTAGTCGAAGTGTTCACATATCCCGAGATACTTCACACCGGGTCTGGATCAGTGATGATGAAGGCAATCTCACCCTGACTAACACAGAGGGTGATGCGCTATATCGTCTGACAGATATACGCAATATTTGGGGAGGACACACTGTGAACCATGACGGCGATTTAATTTATATAGACAGTAAGAATAGCATCAACAGACTGTCTACAGTGAACAAAGTAAAAACTATATTAATAAAGTACACAGAACAATGGGAGCCACTGTGTGTCTACAGCTCGCCCTCCACTGGAGACCTGCTGGTTGGGATGTATCACACTGATACAGATACAGGCAAGGTAGTGCGGTATAACTCTACAGGAGAAGACATCCAGACCATACAGTATGAAAACAACACAGGCCAGGGACTGTATACTATGCCTGTGTACATCACGGAGAACCGAAATGGAGATGTTATTGTGTCCGACCTTCTCCGTTTTGCTGTAATTGTGACAGTCTGTGGAGGAAGTTACCGCTTCTCCTATACAGAACCTCCATCAAAATCAGACCTAGAACCATATGGAATCTGTACAGACGCGTTGTTACACATCCTGGTGTGTGATTATAACACCCAATCAGTACATATAATTGACTGCGATGGTAACTTTCTTTCACAGGTACACACATCATCAGACGGGATAGACATACCATACGGCCTGAGTTATGATGACAAAACAAACCTACTGTGGGTAGGGTCAGGGATCAAGAACACAGTCAACATATACAGAGTGATAGATGGTGACTTTTTAACTAGTAAGTTAAATATTGTAGATAGTTATAAATAATGATTAACTACATTGTACGTGATGGTCAAGATGTACATGTACTCATAAACTCGAAAATAACTGCATCATTTAAACGAAAAAAATCAAAACAAAGTGGATGTAAGACCTTTCATACGAGAAAAAAAGATATCTCATTTTTATTCTTTGGTGTTCAACAGTGACGGACCTGGCGTGGGGGCCATAAAACTTAGACGAGCTAACATTTAATCTCAGTCTCACTTTTCCAGTATATATTCCTTTGGTAAAACTGAGACGAAGATCAAAAGTGAGCTCATCTATGGCTTACAAGCCTGATGTTATATCGTGGAAGACACTATATAAATATGAAATAAAATGAAAGGTACAGTATGTATAAAAAAAAAAACATTTATTATTGAGTATTCGGGCAAAAGGGCCACAGGGAGACCGTTTGGTTCTTGGGTCCGACAAAAGGCATGTTGCCCTCCATTGCAGTCAATAAATGTATAATATAAAAAGTGAACTATTAAAAATTTCTTTATGTTCGTTGTATGCATTGTTTTTTTTTTTTTTGTTTATAGATGTCCCTCTCAAATATTTGAAATGCAGGAAACATCCAAGACACCAATTATCCCATCACTGCATAGACTGTGAGGTCACTTTGTGTCAGATGTGCATCAGGACTTCTGGTGATCATGAAGAAGATGATGTTCAAGATGTAGAGAAATTATTCAAAGAAATGCACTGTAGGAAAGGTTTGTAACTATGCAAAATGTTTTGGAGATAATGAAAAAAAAATACATTTAGTCATTTTTGAAAATTAGCTTTTTCTTTAGGACACTTGAGCCAGGTGGACGAAGTACATAAATCTTTCTGGTTTTTTCTCTGTTTTAATTTATCAATGTACATAGTGCGCCACATTCGAAAATGTTCAGCATTTTCTCTTAAATTACTTTAAAATCCATGCATATGATTTAAACAAAAATTGTGAAATTCATGGTCATTTCATCTCGTGTTGTGATGGGTTGAGCATAATCTTTTCATAATATTTCTGACCATTTTGAGCGGAATAATTCAATGTTCTTCCTAAATCTCACGTCATAAAATAACGTTGAATGAAAAACATGAATTCAAAAGCCTGAAAAAGTGTTCAACACTCAAAAAAACTCATTAATATTTATCATTAAAAGATCATTTTGATGGTACACTGTTAGAAATAAAACGTTAAAGTCACTAAGAAAACTAGTCAATTTACTGTCCATACAATCGCCATAAAAATTGCCATAAAATATTTTACTGGGAATTGGGTATATCTAAAAGATAAGATTTGGAATGCTAGAATTGACAATTTTCACTGGTTATCTAAGTATCTATTTGACCTCCACTCACCACCTTACTATCCTTACCAGTAAACTTAAAGTTTATTAATAACGACAAAACTAATGCCGATTTTAAAAGCTAGAACTTGTTGGTGAATGACGTAAGTTATTGAGTCACCTAATTGTATACTCTGCAAGTTCTTTCTACTTTTTAAAATGTTTGTGCCAGAGAGCCAATGTTTTGTTTGTATATCAAGATCGGCCAATATATATATAAATACGAAGAAATATGCAAATTTAAAAACACTCTTGCAAATGAAACTGCATATTCTAACTCGACTAGGGCGAATTATTCTACGAGCAAGTTGACTTAGGAGCAAACTCTCTATCATTTTCGCGCATACGTATCCCGACGTTTGCCCAGGGCATCCTGTTTAACCTCGCTTATATATTTACTGCGTGATCCTCGGGGTCCACGCAATAAAAGACACGTATACATGTAGGAAATATCTTTAAAAAGAGCATAAAGGTCACATCATTTGTTATTTGAACTTTGAAGCATCTTCTGGTTGTCCAGTTTCAAACTTGTTCGAATCCTGCCCCCTTGGAATAGGGCATACAGCCCAAAAATAAAAAAAAAACATATATTTACTAGAATCACCACCTTTACACCTATCTGTTGACACCTGTGGCTGTCGTTGGGACACCTTGTAAGAGTTATCCATCCTCGTTGGCTGTTTTATCTACATGTATATTATTGCTTCGTTGAAAGACATAGCGACTTGTACAAGGTCAAGTTTGTTTTCATCCAGTGTAGCTTCATATAGGCTGCAAATTTCCCTATCAATCATCACCTGAAATCTATATGTAACATGTTTATTTGGATTTTTAGGTCACCTGAGTCACTCAGGTGACCTATTGCCATCCGTGTTTGTCCGTCGGCGTCCGTCGTTCGTCGTCCGTTGTGTGTTAACATATGAACATTTTCAGCTTCCCCTCTGAAACTGCTGAACCAATTTTAACCAAATTTTGTATACAGCATCTGTGGGTAAAGGGAAACAAAATTTGTGAATTTCATGGTCCCTGCCCCCCTGGGGCCTGAGGGGTGGGGCCAAAACCACTAAAATTAATGCAATCTTTAAAAATCTTCTTCTTTACTCCTGGACATCAAGCAGTCCAACTGTTTGCATGATTGTAATTAGCAATGAGTCCTCTACCAAAATTGTAAAATTCATGGCGCTGGGGTCAGGGGTTCTAGTGCTAGGGCGGGGTTAAATAAGTAGGTAGTGAAAATGCATTATTTCTTTGAAAAAATCTTCTTCTCTGCTCCTGGGTATTAAATAAACCAACTAAGTACATAGTTATGATGAGCAAGAGTGCCTCTACCAAAATTGTGAATTTTATGGCCCCAGGGTCAGGGGTTCTAATGTAAGGGTGGGGCTCTATTGATTATATATTAAAAATACATGAATTCTTTGAAAATCGTTTCTGCTCCTGGGTATTAAATAACTAAGTACATAGTTATGATGAGCAAGAGTGCCTCTACCAAAATTGTGAATTTTATGGCCCCAGGTGGGTTCTTGTTTTAGGGTGGGGCTCTAATGATTATTAGTGAAATGCATGAATTCTTTGAATATCCTTTGCTCCTGGTTAATATGCTAATGATCTGATTACATATTTAAGGCCAGGATTTATTCTATTTTCAGTTTTACAACCCTCTGCTCAAGGTTTTGAATTTTCAGAAGAAAAATTTTTTTTTTCTTTTCGATGTCAAATTTGAGTCGGGATCGAGATTTCAAATTTACGAACTCGCACTTCCGGTTTTACGATGAAACGGCGGGTAAATAAAGCTAGATCTGAGAAGATAGCTTGGTTTAGTGTAAAATTCATCGAAATGAGTGCCATTCAAAACGTTTCACCCGTTCAAACGACAAATAAAATGCTGACGACTTTGTTGCACAATGACATGCTGGTGAGATAATTAATTAATTATGTATTCGTTTCAAAAGTATCTGTCTGTAAATTATTTTCCTCCCCCAGGCTTTAAACTGCCCATGGTAGCTATTGCATATTGCCAGCGACACTATTTATGGTCTCTGTTATAGCTTACAGTCTAAGCATCATTCTTCAGAAAAGGGTTGCTTATGCATCAGATGTAATGAATGAAACAATGGGAGAAGTTAAGTCCATTTGAGGAAGAAATAAACAATAACCTGAAGAAATAAAAAAAAATCAACTATTAAAGACAAGAATATACAAATATATACAGGCATGTAGTATCATTTGTATCAGCCAGAAAAATTATTTCACACTTAATTGAAAAAAAGTTCACCATACTCCCCAATACTCTCTGTCTATTTTATGATAGGAATTATTATTTTAGGCATCAAGTAAATTTTAGAACAATGTCTACACATTCACCTAACACATATTAAACACATATTAAAAAATGAAGAGATATTGGGAGACTTTTAAAGAATTGATTTTTAAGATATATTTTGATCAACATCACAAAATTTATATAACTGGCCAAAACTGGCAGATGATAAAATAAGCAATTAAATGTTCTACTTTCCTATTTGTAAGCATTATGTAGCAAAGGAAAACAAAGGAAGACAACTCTTGCATTTCACATTCTGTGTCATATTTTCTTCTGTGTCTCAACAGTGGCGCGAGAAAATGATGAAATTTCAGATAAAATTAACAAACTGGTACCTAGGTTATATTCTAAAATTGTTTTGATCTAGTATTCCTGCATAATCTGCTTTTAATCTGCTGATGTACACTTTCCAATCATTTTCCTCAGAAAGATGGATAACTCTGTAAGAATTCTGTATTTTTTAAACATTAATAAAAAGGTAAATTTTCATCCGATTTAAGAAATACAGCAAAACTCGGTTATAACGAAGTCGCTGGGACCTTTGAAATTACTTCGCTATATCCGTAATTTGTTATTAGCGTATAAGAAATTAATTAAATTTAAATTGCTGGGGATCCAAGATCAAAATGACTTCGCTATATCCGTGAATTCGCAATATCCGTGTTCGTACTAAACGAGTTTTACTGTAATTGCTGATATGGAATCAGTGGGGCATACTTTACACAATGGACATAAAACACTGACAAACAGGTCGAGACCACTGCCTTATATAAAAGGCAATTTCCAACACGTGACGAAGTCTTCGTCACGCCCGTTCTCCAATCAAGTGAAAGATTCCAAAGCATAACAGTCTACCACGTGTTTACGATTCAATAGCTACACGTGGTTTTCGTCGGTTTACTGCACAAAATTTAACTCGTCACCGGAAAAACTGTAGAGCTTCTTTATAACTTTATTAGACCGAAATTGAAAGATTATATTCTGAAGACACTGCTCCATGCTCACATTTCATTTTGGAGTTGTTTTAGATGAGTAGCAGTTGCTTCGAATATCGTACAAACGCTTTGACTTTTGCATATACATAAAACACTTTCTGATAATATTGAGGGGTTAAATAATAATTGCACACTTTCTCCTGCTGTCTAAAAACAAGGACCTATATACTACCAGCGAAAGCTATGTACACGTATATCACGTGAAAAAAACTCAATGTTTTATCGACACGATAGCACTTATACGTTTCTTTGAACAATGGTATACTAGGCTGATGTATTATAAGTTGATATAAGGCTTCATGAAGCAAATTTTGTAAATGTGAGCACAGAAATGAAAGATTATACATGTAGATCATTTTAAATATTTCTTTCAAAAATTTACAAAAAGAATTGAAAATAGGTTTCCAAGGGACAATTCCAGTTGCCTTTAATTTTCAACACAGCTAGGTACTTGTAGTAGCCCACAATGCATTGCGGCTCATTCAGCAGTAGGTAAAGTAAACATATCAGCTAATTTACATGCAAATTTATTCTGACGTCAGAAAATCTAGTGGTCTCGACCTGTTAAAAATCATTGGGCATTGCTACATTATGTGTCCAGTGGTAAGGAGCCTAATAGGATAGCATAAAAAAAAAGAATGTACAAATGTTAATAATTGATTTATCATTTTTTTTTTATATTTCCTTCTCCTTTGGGACTTTTTTATTCTCATGTTCATAACTAAACCTGAACGTAAAAAAATGCTGGCCTTATAATGAAGAAAGGGGCCTCTTTCAAAATAGATAATATCAGGGCCACTGGGTCAGGGGTACCAGGGGGTACTTTGACTAAAAATAAATTAATGCTTTGAAATCTGCCCTTTGATACGCAATGGTGCCTCTTTCAAAATCTGTGAATTTCATGGCTTTTGGATTAAAACACGAACCAAATACAATCGCTGGAAAGTTGTTACATGATACTCAGGTGACCTATAAGGCCCTTGGGCCTCTTGTTAATTTCTAGTTAAAATGAATTCTGGTAAACTTGGATTTCCTTATTTGTTTTAGATGGACTCTGAATGCGATCATGACCAGATCACGATCGCTTCTTTTCCCGCACCGGGGAAAGACACGTGTTTACCCTTGCTCTGAAGCGCTTTTGGACAATAATGTAGTCAATCAGATTTCAATATTGGTCGCCTTGGCTAGTCCATGTCCAGTTCCTTGATGATTATCGAACTCTCAGTGTATTTGCCAGCACAAGCTTGTTGGTGGTGGCGAACTCAAGCAGTCGATAACTTTCTCATTTGTAGTAAAGTCGCACGATGGTCAGCAGATTGGTTGAGCATCTTTTCCAACCTTAGAGTTCAAGTCCCAGTGTATTTGCCAGCACAAGCTTGTTGGTGGTGGCGAACTCAAGCAGTCGATAACTTTTTCATTTGTAGTAAAGTCGCATGATGGTCAGCAGATTGCTCCTCCTTTCTCTGTGTTTGTCATCCCTTCCACCTTGTGTCCGTTCATTGTTGTTGTCTCGCCTATGTGTTTACATCGCGTCTCACATAAATTTCGAAAAATGATGTACATTGTACATACCCTAATAGCATGAACTGACACTATTTCTTTAGAAAAAATGCTTTTTCCCTTTTTTCCTTACTTCCTTTTTTTATGTCCGAGTAATTTTGAACACCAAATTAAGTGAAGAATATTCAATAGCCAATAACCAAGTTATTCCTACGACGAACTTTCATACATGTACATTTTGGCTAAACACATGTTTTGTTTGCTTCTTTTTTTACCTTTCTGAATACTAAGTATTTAACTAAAGTCTCATAAAATTATACTTTTAAATGAGTGTAGATGCAAGTCTTTTAACAACTATTGCTTGGAGGGATACGTTTGGTTTAATTTTATTTTCGAACTCCTTAATACGTACTTCTGTTTTTGCTCTAGCCAAAAAGCGAGTGATGTGGTACATGGACCTCTTGTTTATTTTCAGATGGAGATGCAATTTTGATGTGCCTTCTGCTTTGCCCTTCATACAAAATAAATCTGAAAGAAGAACACTGGATAGAGAAGTATAATACTGTTGCTGAAGTTTTCAAATTCAAGAAGATTAAGAAGCCGTCTAATCTTAGCAGCTTAAAGAAGTACAAACCAATACTCAAACAGGATGGTGTGAATGTTGAGTTTTCTTGTAAATTCTTTAAACACACCACTTTCCTTACTTTCGCTAAAAATCCAAATTTTGTGGATATCTTTCTGAGTTTAGCAGAAAAAGACAACATCTCTGAGTACTGCAGATCCTGGGCCTATCCAAAGAAGGAGCGGGAAGTCTTTTGCTGGTTATCACCACATCAAACAACACAATTGATAGAAAAACTTGGAGAGGATATTTTCAACCACCCAACATGGCAGGATACATCAATACACAATACTGTATTTCAAAACCGTAAGTTTATATTTTTCAGTTGATTCTATACGCAAGAACATATACAATTTCTAAATCGAGGTAAATTATTGACTACAAAATGATGAAACAAGAATATCTAACTTCTTATTTAAAATCATCATTTCGTACGTTCCATAGTCCATACAATTACCTTGTTGGCAAATGCAATTTGGGTCAAATGCTGACTGTCGTTTTAAGCTGGCTTTCCAGAATGCAAAGTCCTGACTGTAGGCATCATAATCGACTGCCTTAATAAAAATAGCATAGTGTAAAAAATAAATAAAACCAAAGTACTCAGAAGTACTGAGAGCAGGGCTTATTTACAGAGTAAATTGAATTCGTACATGAATCTTACGTTTATATTGTGTTAACAGATAAATAACAAGAATATTAGATTAAAGACTATCAATATAAATTATGACACTGACAGTGAGTTTTAGATCCAAATAACACGGTCAGATTTTGTCAGAATCAAAATTAATCTCGTACTACGGCTGGTTCCCTCTCCTATTTTCCCTGTTACATGTAGTGTAGAGAACTACGATAACACTGATTATCAGAAATCCTTACGCTAATAAACTACGTTCTTTGACTTAATGCTGAAGTTTTCAAAGTCATTACTACTAATGTTTATTTATTTAGATAAAACTTCGTTTTATTAATGTTGTTTTACTTAGCGTTTGTATTATCTCCGAAGCGGTTGAGAGTAAGAATTATATTTTTACACGTAACTTTAAAATGGCGCCTATGAGGTTGACATCCTGTCTTGAAAAGGATGACATAAGCCGGCAATTGCTCTTTGGGCAATAAGCCTGGTTAAAAACCAAACGGCATCAAAGCAAACGCTTCCAATAAACAAAATAATCCTATTGCAAGACGGTATTTGAACAAATAGTTATAGCATCTCAATCTTTGAAATTGTTCATGATCAAGATTTTTACCTTAGAATTAAATTGAAAAAGGAATTGCGAGGGTTGATCCAAAAGAAATATGTCACTGTGTCAATATCTTCAATATTATCATATATTATATACCAAAAGATGCATAAAAAATAATTCTAATCTAAATTGAAATTTTCGTTGAATAATTTTGAATTAAATTAATTTCGTAGACGTTTAAAATATTAAACATGGGTGGTGTCGCCGCGTCACAACAGAACGTCACGTTTTAAAGTGTAAATCTTTAAAATGAGAAAAGACAAACACATTAAAAAGCTTGTAAAAAAGCATCTAAATTTAGGGCTGTCACGGGTACCCGAAATGGCCCGGAACCGTGGAACAATTAATTCGGGTCGGGTATGGTTCCGTTTTTCCGGAATTCAGTTCGATTCCGATTTGTATAATAGAGTAGATTTTACTTTAAAAATGGTGTCAGAAACGAGAGATTTGTTAGTACGTTGTCATTATAAAGTGATTTAAATAATTTGGTACAATTGTTGTCTAGTCAGGAGGCTACTTTAAACTAGTTATAATGTTGTTATTTCTAAGATTAAATGAAAATATTCTTTTTATTGTTGAAAATAATACAAATCATGAGCTTTTCTTCCATTACCTACCCGACCCGAGAAATCCGAAACCTAACCTAAAAAAATCAGAACCGACCCGACCCGAAAATTTTGGAACCGTGACAGCCCTACATCTAATCGCCCAAATTTTTAAAAGACAATTTTTTCGACATATTCTAATCTTCAGTAGAGAAATAAAATGACGTCATTGCTTTTTAATCATAAACATTGTATTTTTATTATGCTGTATTGAACAAAGAAAATGTCGAAATGGTTGAAACGCTGAAACGAGCTGTGATGTATTTTTGCTTTTTAAAAATGGAAAAATCACCCTAGAAACAGTTACGATGGTTGACAAGGCACATAGAGGAGAGAATGTAAATAAAAGACATGTTTACAGATTTTTTTCAGCGAATTTTTAGCTGGTCATAGGTCAGTGAGTGATCATCAAAGGACTAAAAGGCCTTAAAATGGAGGTCGGGCAGAAACGTTCAGTGTGTCTTACGTTGTCCAAAATGTTTAGACAGTTACAGTGAAATGAGAAAAATTAAGTTTGCCCCATGTTACTGTTAAAAGAATATTGACAGAGTACTAAATTATATATAAGGTGAGTGTACAATGGGTGCTAATAATTCTTATAAAAATGGAAATATATGTGAATGTGTTCATGAATCTCAAAGATTTTCAATGGAACGAAGTGAAAGATTTCAAGTATATGACGTCGCGTATCCGTCATATGACTTTATTTAGGTGCGGCGACTACCGCATTGGCAGAGGAAATACATGTGGGTCACATACGACACATACGTCGTTTTAACTCGCAGTGCAAGTGTAATATGTTAGAGACATTGTTAACTGTAGAACTATTTAAGCATGAACTTATTGATTTGCAATTATCGTGAAGAGTGAAAAAACGGCTTCATATGTGTCCACCGAGTTCTAGAACATAATTGATTGTGCAAGCAAAACAATGGGCCCTAATTAGAGAATATTAACAGTTTAGCATTATAAACTGAAAACGGTACATTGTATTAAGGTTTAAAACATTAGTATGACATCATCTTTTGTTCTTTTAATGCTTTCTATTTCTTGCAAGGCCCAAAGCAGTCCAATAAGTTACGTGAAACTGTCCAATAAGTTTTAAAATCTGTCTATTATTAAAAGTAATGGACAGTTTTCAATAACTTGTTGGATGGCTACAGGTAACTTACTAGATTAAGAAAACACAACACAAATAAACACAAATAAATATTTTTCAGGCAATGAATCCAACAGTTTCACAGTGTAATTAAATAATCCATTCAAAGTCACAAAAACTGAAACTTTGTAATTATTCCAATAAATGATGAATTGTATATTACAGCTCACAATGAACATCAAAAGTTAAATTTGAAGGAAATATCTCGATCTGAAATCTATTGGAATGTAATTTGCACCAACAACACACGAGGGGATATCACTTCTCCTGGCAAGAAACAGTCTCTCCTTAAATTCTTATTCTCACTGGTACTTTGAATAATTTTGCTCATTTTTCTGCAGGAGCACATCCATCGGTTTTCTGCTACAGGTATGCAAGGGTGTTTTGTCAATAGCCTTGTCTACTCATCTCCCGATTTGTTTCTGATTTTGGCGAAAAGAAAGCTTATAATTTTGTTGATTTCTTTATCATTCAACACCTTAACGTACATCAACGTTGAGTACCTTGTAACATTCTCTCTGTCAGTTAAAAAACACAGTAAGTACCCGTTTACATTTCTGCTCTGATTATCCTCTTCTAAATCATCTGAATATTGTTGATTAAATTACGAAAACCTTTCTACGTTCCCTTTGTTTTTCTGCATCCTTGAAAACCCTTGATCAAACGTTGAGAAATGTTTGAAAAAATAAAACGTCCACCTTGAGCTCAAAGTTCATTTTCTTGACAATCCTAGGCTCAAAATATCACAAGAATGACATACCCCGGTATGCATTGCCCTTCAAATCTGAAGTTGTTTTGCATAAAAATATGCTTCATTGGAAGAAGACATGCTTTCAACATTCACAATCACATTAAAATGGTGATGGAATCTCATGCCTTGTGATGAAATATTCGTTAGTCAGTTGTTTGAAAATTGCACTTACCTATAACTGTCCACTCAGTTAACAATTACAATGAATACAAGTTTCTTTTGACTTCTTTTGACTGTCATAAATCCTTCACCTGAGACAGTCTAATAAGTAGACAATACTTACTTAATACAATGGATGAGAAAAAGTTCTAAGAGAGTACATTATGAACACAATAGGGCAAATGTTTTAAGTAGGTTATAGGCCTCAAACTGTCGACTCTGTGAGAAAAAAGAACTATTGTCGGGCCTAACGGCCCTCCAACAGTTCTTTCTTCTTACAGAATGGACAGTTTTTGGTCTATAACCTTTACTTAAACATTTTATTTTGATTTTTTAAAAATATATATTTATGGTACTGACAACAGCGATTTTGCTGTGGCGGAACTATGGCGCTAATTTTTTAACTGTGGTGCTAAGGAATTTCAATTAGGCTGGGCCGCCACGTTCAACGGCCCATGGAGAAGCCTGCATTTGCAAGTTTTGTTTGTTAAAACACACAAGAACTCTGAAGTTGACATCAAAGAGTTGCTTGAGTTTTTGATTGACAGTATCTTAGTGGTTTTTGGAGAAAAAGTATTCCGTTCTCTTGGAGTTCCCATGGGTACCAATTGCGCTTCATTATTAGCACACCTATTTTTATATTCCTATAAAGCACAATGTATGCAAATTCTTATGCGTAAACAGAAGAAAACACTTGCTGTTGCCTTCCAATCGATATTTAGATATATCGACGACGTATTGTCAATCAACAATGGTAATTTCCATTCCTACGTCGATACGATATAACCTGGTGAACTTGAGATACAAGATACCACTGAGTAAGGAAAAGATGTTAATGGTTATTTAACAACCAGGCTGTATGATACACGTGACGACTTTAACTTTTCTATTGTCAACTTCATTTACTTATGCAGCAATATACCTTAATCGCCTCATACGGAGTATATATATCTCAGTTTATTCGATACGCAAGAGCATGCTCTACGTATTAACAATTTCTAAAACGAGGTAAATTATTGACAAGCAAGTTGATGAAACAAGAATACCAGCAGTCTCGTTTAAAGTCAACATTTCGTACGTTCTATGATCGATACAATGACCTTGTCAGCAAATACAATTTACCATTGAGTCAAATGCTGACTGACGTTTTGAATACTAATTTTTGTCCATTATTTATACACTGAATTGTCGACGGATTTCCCCATTTCCTAATCATGACAAGGAGCACACGGTGGGTGTGACCGGTCAGCAGGGGATGCTCACTGCTCCATGGCACCTGTTTGATTTGCTCCTATTTTGTATTGTTTAATGGACTTAGATTGAATACTGCTCCTTATATCCATATCTTTACTACAGTATATTGTGTTTGTACGATCATTTAAATGATAAATGTCTAAAAGGCATGCAAGCTCTCAGGGGTGCTGGGAAATAAAATTGTTAATGTAGATATATAATTTTAATCGAACACAACATATAATGGTGTTCATTTAATAGTCTCTCTTCTAATAAACACAATATTTTCAGAAATAGATGCCTAAATAGAAGTCTTTGCTTCAAACCTTTCAATTCAGAATGAAAAGCTCACTATGCACAACTCATACAGACTTGAATATATCTTAATTTGCCCAGGCAATGACCATTTTGGGGAAATCTGGAACTAGAACTACACTGAAGACTCATTCATGTCATTAAGTATTAGATACAAATTATTAATTTCATGCAGCTGGTTTCCTAGAGAACGAGAAATAATCACCATGTCTTACCTCCGATGGTTTGGAAGACTGTGTTTGTCCTGCTCCTATTTTGTGTTGTTTAATGCACTTTTGGACTTGAATACTGTTTGTTATCGATATTTTTTTCCATCATTTTATTTCTATATTAAATCTGGTAAATATTTAAATTCCGCAAAGATTATTAATTACTTTGCATGTTACAATTCACTTTATAATACTTTCATGTTAAATACTAAAATCTGATTGGTTTAGACGCAGTTAACAATCTGTTCTATTACCCTCAGCCTTAGCAACACACGTGACAACGGGTAACACAACGGTAATTCCACATGCGTAGAAATTATGCGCGCACGGTTCACCGTAGAATTCTCAAAACGTCAGATGTGCGTTTGAAAGAACCGGAATAAACTTGACGTCAATAAAAGATTGCGTCCGATGTAGCTTACTTAAAAACAACAAACGACAGACAAAACATGCTTGCAAGTGCAGAAATAACGAAACTCTAGATGATAAAGAGTATCAATTAAGCAATAGAGAGATCAGTAAATCTTTTTCGAAGTAGCGGGGAGTTTGAAAGCTTTCTAAACGTGAACGAAAAGGCGATCGACGATTTGTATTGCTGACATAGTAAATCAAGAAGACATTCAGTATACTAAAATAAATGGTGCCTATTTTGGAGGGTAACAGATGAAATTGACACCCCTCGGAAAACCATTGTCAACCTCCGCTGATGCGTCGGTTGACAATAGTTTTCCTTGGGGTGTCAATTTCAACTGTTACCCTCCAAAACAGGCACCATTTATACAATATCACAGAAGGAATAGATAGTTAAATAACTCATTCTTGAAAAATCACACTACTTCTACCAAAAACAGTTATATTCTCTGATTCATGTTTTGCTTATGAAGAAAAATACTTCCAAAAAGACAATAAAGTATTCATATGAAAGTTGAACGTTCTAGCATAATCTAGTAGAACTACAATTCGGTGATAGATTTATTATTTTTGTAGTTGGTGTGCCAATGCAGATTTTGATGAGAGGAGAGGAGTCAGTGAAGAATTTCATTGAAAATCTGAGGAAAGGGGAGACGACCATGTACCACGCATCTGGGATGATCATTGGATGTGCGGGTAGTGGAAAGTCAACCTTACTAGAAAGACTGAAGGGCATCGACCTGATAGAAATCCTAGAGAGTTCAAAGTCAACCAGAGGAATAGACGTCCAGTCTGACATATTTGATGTAACTGGAAAAACAATTAAGGGTATGATTTTTTTATTATCTGATGATATAGAGTTTTCCAATTAATATGTCACAATAAATAATCGAAAAGTTTAAAAGTACCACACACACTCGCACTTTAAAAGGCGTGTCTTGATTGAAACACTTTCATTTTACACCCTTAGCTGTATGATTTATGCCTACATAATATTTTTAAAAAAAAACAAGTATAAACTGTCAAAACGGCAGAAATACTCAAGCTGTAGAAAGTCAATAACTATAGAGGAAGTGACATAATATCCTTAAATGGTATTAGATGAGGATTATTGAGTTCTGTTGAATAAACTACATGTTCATAAAACAAATTCATATATTCAGTTTTATTAGAAGAAATATACGCAGCATAGTTAAGGTTACAAAAAGGAGACGGAGTCTAATTTGCACGGAAAACTTGATTATGACATCATACAAAATATACGCCATACAGCATTTCTTTGAAATACCACAAAATGAGTTAAGCACAGAACAATTCAAAAACAAGTCACTGATCACAATACTTGTCAATATGACGTCATTTCTTAAAACGTGACATAGTTTGTATGCATTGTGAGACAGATAAAGTAATATTTTCTCAACAAAATATCTGTTTTCGAATTAAATAAAATATTATTAACATATATTATATGGGACAATAAATTGCATTTTATGTCTTCTTTTATATTTTATTAATATATTTATTGTACATTATGTATTTAATAGACACTACTGTATATTTGTTTTCAAGTATATCGAAGGGTAGTGTGTGTGTGTGTGTGTGTGTGGGGGGGGGGGGGGGTGTTAACAAATAGATCTAGTGCAAGGGCATACACTCTATTGATCTTAGTAACCTTTTACAATTCAACCCTAGAACTATTAAGGTATCTAAAAAGTGCTGCGATTCTGATGAAATATTTCAAACAATTTAAGGTAGTTCTACACTCGGCGCTAAATGGGCTCAATCTTAAAAAATCTGCTTTTATAAGTTAGATATACATCCCACTAATTGATAGACACAAGAAAAATTATGTCAACATGTTCACTTTTCCGCTAATGCCTATCGGAGTACATACCCCGAAATGTAAAGTACTGAAATTTACCTATCCTACATTTTGTTGTATTTAATATATTAAAGTCTAAATATTCAACTTTGATACACAAAATAGAGTAGAAACCTGTAAGTAAACCATAGATAATCATTGTTTTATTTGCACTTTGTTAGACTAACGTATCAAAATGAAATATGAGAAAATGTGCTTCACACGTCAATCTCGGTCATTTTAGAAAAAAATTTAGACTCAAACTTCAAAAACTTGCATTCGTTTTACTAAATAGCATTTAAGAAAAAGAATAAGCTAAAACAAGATGTGTGTTGTGAAACACTATGCGCCCGGCGGCAACAAATTTAAAAAAAACATATTTTTAGCATAAAGGTCACAATGAAGCTCACAAGGTCATTGATCTTGATGTTATTTGAAAGATCTTGATTAGTGAAGTATGCATACCAAATATGAAGTCTCTATCTTCCACGGTTCAAAAGTTATGGGGAAGGTTCAAAAAAGCTATTTTTAGCATATAAGACACGGTCAAGGTTACAAGATCATTGACCTTGGTGTCATGTGAAAGGGCTTCATTAGTGGAGTATGCATGCCAAATATTAAGTCTACATCTTTTATGGTTCAAAAGTTAAGGCAGAGGTTAAAGTTTGCAAAAAACCTCTATTTTTAGCATATAAGTCACAGTCAAGGTCACAAAGTCATTGATCCTGGTGTCATTTGGAAGACCTTCATTAGTGGAGTAGGCATACCAAATATGAAGTCTCTATCATTCATGGTTCAAAAATTATGGCGAAGGTTAAAGTTCGCAGACAAACAGACAAACAGACAGACAGACAGACAGAGAGACAGACAGGACAAAAACAATATACGCCTCGGAACTTTCGATCCGGGCGCATAAAAAAATTATATGTTGACGCATTACTTTTCATGCTATGAGCTCTACACTAAAGGGACCCCAATAATTTCATTCTTCCAAAAATAATATATTGCCACATTTTCCTGTAGTACTGTTAAAGTTTGAGTGTATACTTGTATTAACAAAGTTGTACATATTTAAAACAATGATAATACACACCCAATACCTATTGTCCCTAAAATTTATCTTGCAATACTCTAAAACATTAATAGCCATTCTCTGTAACCACTTAAACTTCGCATGCCACGCATGGTCAACGCTTTTGATGAAACTTCACCCATGCTTAGTACTTGACACCAGAAACAAATATCAAACAAAATTTCGTTGCTAAGTGAGTAAGTGTCTCGGTTGCTATGGCAACAGCCGGAAAAGTTTGAAAAATCAAGATTTTCAGACACTTTAAATCTCGACTGTGGCTTATTAAAAACTAGAAAAAACAAACAAACCATTTTCACAAAAACATGACACCTTGGTGTCACTTATACTGTAAATAAACTGTTCAGAATATATCTCTTAATAAGTGGTAACCAAGGGTACATTTGGAATACATTTTAAATGTTGAAATATGCTGAAAAACACTCCATATTCACTAATGGAAGGTGTTACTTGCTCAAACTCAATCAACGATTAAGAAAAACAATGAAAATCTTTGACCTTAAGTATATAAGTATAAAAAATATTATTCTAAAAGTAACTTTCATGGTTGCCATGGTAACAATGTAACCATGCAAAACCAGTAACTAAGATTGGGTTAATGCTACTGTCTTGAGGAAAAACATGAAAATTCAAGACTGGCAAATATGCATCCTTAGGACCTTGCAACACCAAAACCATAAGAAAAATTGGGTATAATTGCTACTTTGCAGTGTTACCATGGAAAGAAAGTACCAGTTCCTTAAAATGAATTATTTTTCTCTGCATTAAGAATTGAATTGCCATATAATCAAGAAACAAATTAAAGGGCTCAGCTTGAATAGTACTTATCTGTTAGAACTGAATCTGAATATCATATATTGATAAAATTTGATGAAGAAAACACCACTGTTGCTATGGTTACCAAGAAGGGGAAATGTTCGATTTTGTGAACTTTATATCAATATTAAACCCTCTGTGCCAACTTCTTGCATCCACTTAGATACTGGATGATAGTCAAAATTAAAAGTCAGGTTAGATGTTAATAAATATCAATCATAAAACTTTTGGGAATCTATTTTAAGGGTACGTATCCAAGGTAAGAAAATATTTTCAGGTTTTTAAGCATATATTTTCTGCTTATTTCCATAGCAACGCTCTATTTAAAGAATCTAATCTGAATTTTTTCAAATGGGAAAACTAAGAGCACACCTACATCTTTAAAAATTGATCATTAGTTATGAGGAAATGTGCTTTTTTAAAAGATAGGATCAGATTTAAACATACAGAGTGTTACTTTGAAGGCTCTCTGTGATAAAAAAAAAAAAAAACCCATGGCAACCATTGCCAACCAGAATGAAATATCATATTTTGTTCTTGGTATATGATTCAAGGCTCTTTTTTCTATTATTTGGTCACATTTCATCCTATACTTGCTTTTTATTTTTACGTGTAAGACTTTATAAAATTCAATGAATATTTTTTTTTACTTTTGAATACTTTGTTACCATAGTAACATATGTTATGGTTGATTTACCAAACATGTTTATGTTAAGTGGACATCGTCTACCACATATATTTCCCGGGCGACAATTGATGGTTACATCAATTTTTTCTTGTATATGTTTGTTTTAAGTATCTTTTGCTTCATGGCGTATATCACATTTAATACATGTATAAACTTCAATCTAAATAGCTTGCTAACAGCCTGTAGAAAGTTTTTTTTTTTCAAAGTGGAAGGTGGGCTCCAGGCTCCATAAAATCCACATCACTACGGGTTCATCAATCGATGCAAACCTGGGCTAAAATGTACGATCTTCTCCAACACTTGACCGTGGCTTGAGACGGGTTCATCTAGCTGAGAGGCATGTCCAAAACATATTCCGTACACAGGCAACTTAGCCACATATGATTGTCATATGAGTATCATATGACTCTCATATGATTGGTTTCATATGAGAATCATAGAAAAAGGGCATCATATGTGAATCATATGAAGCAAATCATATGATTTACATATGATCCACATATGTGAATCATATGAAAATAACTACATATGATTTTCATATGAATGATTTAAGTGTGTTTCAAGCCATTTACATATGAGAATCATATGAAAAGGACATCATATGTAAATCATATGAAACACTTGTGTGTTCTTTTTCAATGTTTTTCACATTCTTGTACACATTTAAAAATCAGATATTTCTGCATTAGATGAAAATTCATTACATTACAATGATCTATCTTCATTGGTTAAATATTTCAAAATATCTTAAGGTAAGGTTTGCGTCTCCCTCCAACTTTTATTTTTTTTAATATGCACACATGCCATATATCAATTTATTCAGGGAGATTAGCTTCATCATTTAATATGATTTTCAAAGATATTGCCCGTCCCATTTTTTTTTAGTAAAAGACGCCAAATTTAACGTATTTCATATTTCACCTCGAATATTATTTTCATTGAAAAAATTGATTTATTTTATTAATTATCAAACTTTTATAATTAAAATGACCTGGATTAGTATAATTCATGCTTCTATTATTTAAACTATTAATTTTCCGTTATCAAAAATGTGAAAAATTGGGTAAAAAAGAAGATTTTTCAATTTTCCTTGATAAAGTGAAACCGTTGCCATGGCAACAAAAATATAAAAATCAACGTTTTACATATCTTACGATTCCATCAAATTCCATGAAGTTATTAATTTGATCATTTTAAATAATTTGAACCAAAAAAATATGTATGTCCCCAATATTATTTCCATGGAAACAGGGGCTATATTATGGGTTCGGAACACAAAAATCAGACTTTTTCTACACTTATAAAGACAACGTTGATATCACATTGTCATGGTGAATGTTAAAGACTAAATGTATTTTTGATATTGTTTTTAA